AAAATTGATTTTTTAGGAAACAATTTTTTTTTTCCTTTTTTTTTTTTTAACTTTTTTGCAATGGAAAAAAAATTTTACAACCAAATTGTGGAAAAAATTATCACTTTAACAAACACTTTCCATGTAAAACAAAGTCAAACGAATAGAAAATTTAAAAAATTTTCGGGTGGAAAACTATACAAATCAAACACATTTGAAATCATTTTCTCCGCAAAGCATTTTCTAGGCAAATCTTTTCTCTGTAAAATATTTTCTTTTCATCCATTTTCGATCCTTGCAATCAAACGCACTCTAAATATAATATATGCTTGTTTGATGGAGATTAAAATAATTTTATTAGCAAATTTTAATAAAAGTTAATAAAATGTATAGTTGAAAATATGAGTTCAATGAAATGTATGATTAAAATTAATTGTAAAATTTGATTTAAATTAAAATCAAGATTTTAATCCCTACCAAACATGGACTATTTCTCACAACATATATAAATGTTATGAATGACATTTATTTTAGCTATGAACTTTTTATATTTCAGGGTAATTATATTTACACAACAATTTTCACTACGGATAATATTATCCATGGTGAAAACTACATATAATTTTTTTACGTGACATACATGATAATTTATTATTTGATGCATTAATGTGATAATTTTTTATTTTCTTATATATCAAATAAGAAACTATTATTTATATATCACGCAGAAGGACTACCGGTGGTCTTCACTATGAATAATATATTAAAACTATTTACATCACATTTTAAATAAAAGTTCCTAAATTTTTGCTCATTTTGGCACTTGTGTCTTTTAACTTTTTTTTTTTTCGTAGCATTCATTTTCTTTAACTTCAATTACATTAGTATATCTTGTCTCTAATGATGATTTTTATCCAAATATTCTCCAAACGTGAGTTAAAATGCGAGAGGTAAGTATTTTCACGCCTTCCTAACATATTTTTGCGTTAGAATCAATTTTCAATAAAATATGCAAAATATTTTAGGGTCAGGGTTAAAAATGTGGATAAAAAAAGTCAGGAATGTAAGTGCAAGAAAGAGCAAAGGTTGTGGACGTTTATTGTCATTAAAATGTGGTGTAATAATAAAAACTGTAGTGTGAATATAAATAGAGGAAATTACAGCCTCACGGGTTTTTAATATACAATTTTCATAAATTCAAAATCAACTTTAATATTACATAAATCAGGTTTTAACTAATAATTTTTAAATTAATTTTTATTTAAATCAATCCTACACAATTTCAAACCCTCATTATTTCATTTTCTCACCCCTCTCGCCCTCCC